GTTTAGGATCTTGTTACTTAGCTTACTCTGTTCATATTTTAAGGTACTTGCTAATTATAATTTCAATAAGCTTATTCACATTGTTTATAAATTTTTTCTAAATATTAAGTAACTGCCACAATTTTCTATCTTTTTGTATCTTGTCCGTTCTAGCTCTGAAGAAGACCTGCAAAGTCGGGTCGAAACGTCGGCTTTTAATAAAATAGTTTTACCACTATTAAGCCTTTTTATGACCGCCACCCTGGACCATCTCATCCCTTTATAATGCAACGGTCAACTACTAAATATTCAACATAAATAATAAAGATTGTATTTAGGAGCAAATGCATAAAAACACGCACATATATGGTTTGAATTATCACTTATAAATAGTACCTTTTTTTTTTTTGGTAAATAATTTTAAGTCTATATTCTGTAAAAAAAAAAAAAGATTAAGGAAATTTTAGTAAGATATAAATATCTTTTTTTTATAGTTATAATTATGCATTAAAAAAGTACTCGAAACAGTTTTAAAATAAAACCTTTAAATAACAATTTAGCAATTAAATCCATACAATATATTGAAATGTTAAAAAATATACTTAAACGAGCTTAGAAAATAATGGCTAAAGTAGGCCTGTTTGTGTAAATACGTGTTATAACAAATACAACTCTATTGAGTCTTTTCGATGGTTCTTTCGGTTCTGAGTAATTCTTTTTTAAAGATAAATTTTTTAAGTTATATCAAAGAGCCATTATTTTGTAGAATCACATAGGACATTTATATATACTAATAGAATTTGATTTATAGACAGATTCACTCAAAAGAATTAGACAAAAAAAAACATGAATTAACAGTAATTCTTTTCCATTAAAACTACTTAAAAATAAAATAGAATATAAAAAGAAAGCAATCTTTTAATAATTATTTAGTCATTTGAAGTTACAACTTGGATTACAAAGGACCAAAAAAGTTACTCCTCAAAAGCTACATTGCTTTTATGTAATGCACCAAGATGTTAATTGTAGAGCAATTTGACTGTAATGTAATTGATACCGAGAAATATAATTTCTCTATAATTTTAGGGAATAAAAACTAACATGCAAAGACAATAATTTAACTGAATTAAGATAAAATTAGAATAAAAAAAAAATCTGGTGCGCGCAACACACAACTTTCACTCACCCTACTTTGAATAGAAATTATTTTTTTTACGTTTCTACGAGAATAGTAGCAGATACATGAGGATGCTTCATAAGTTCGAACAAAAAAAATAAATATTATCATGATGAAAAACAGAGAACTAATATAATATCCTCCAAATAATCGATAAGACATAAATGTAAAATAATGTAAGAGACTATCACATAAAACTGGAGATCATATTTAAATGTAGGTCTTTTAAGAACTAATTAAAAATATTTAACAAAAAGATGCTCCAGGAGTCAATCTGAAAAAATATCAAATAACTACTAGCTATTTATTCAATGTTATTATTAATATTAGTGGATGTTTTGACCCATATTGTAAGTCTTTATTAAGGCTGAAGTATGTAGACAAAGAAGCCACCAACTAAATATCGTAAGACCTATAATGTGGATCGTCATTGACGTAGAATAAATAGCTATTTATTTGACATATTTTCTGAGCGACTTCTGGAGCATCTGTTATAATTTTAAAATGTCATTTAAGAAAGTAAAAGTTGGAATTGAATGAAAACATGTAATCAAACCAATTTTGTTTACAATAATCAATTCATGTTTAAAACTTATTTAAATTAGTTTTACTTTTTTATAAGCAGAGCGACTTGTTTAATGCAATAAGCTAGCTCTTTGAGTGACACAACTCCTTTGAATCAACTAATTAACTTCATATTTTAAAACACTTCAATAATCAGTAAAAATTAATAATATGCTGAGAGAAGGTGGTCTGAGATTTTTTATAACTCATAGCCACTAATATAAATTATTCTCTTTTCCATCACTCACTCTTCATCAAAACGATTACTTGAGAGAGAGGATTACTTATTTCAAATTTGATTATATCATCCCTTCAATACACTCACTTAAATTCCCTCAGTTCAGTTGATCAACCACCCTCTTAATGTAGATCATCAACCTTGTAGGAACCATTCTCTCTCTTTAGTTGATGAACATACAGTTCATCCTATGTCATGGATTAATTAATTATATGATAAAAATTCAAGCATTTTCCATGGTTAAATGATTGGGTACTACTTCACAAGCAGGGCAGGTCGAAACCTCACTTCTTATCTATGTTATCTAACGTCACGTCACATAACCTCCCTCTTTTTAAAATAATAATAATATAATATAATAAATAAAAGTTTTTTTCTTTTGTTATTAAATTTGTTTTTGTTTCTGTTTACTCTTTCAATAATACGAATATAATACAATAATATGAAGATAAGAACTAGGAGAAGGCTTATCACTGCCTTATCGGAATTATTAGTGTTCAGGTTATAAACATTGGCAGATAGCAGTGGGTCCCGGCCTGCTAGTGAAGAAGTACCAATGATTGATGGAGTCTTTAAATTCAGAACTTTTGCATCAGATTTTAATTTATAAAGGCACATACGATTAATAATACTAATTTTTTTTCTAAATCTTGGTCTACTCATGAGTTCTAATTAACTTTTAGGGATTTATTTAATATAACTAGGGATTCATTTTAAATAACTTTACATCCCGATTTCAATAAATGTGATGCTGTTTGTTACTTCAATTGTATTAGCATGGTGCATGATCCTGTGGTGTTAAGGTTTGCTATATTCTCTATCATAGTTGCATTCAAATTTATTTTTCTTTGGTTTAAATACTGAACACAATATTGTTTTGTTAATTTAATCTTTCAAGTTCCTTAAAAGTAATTGCAAACAGAGAAATTTCAGAACTGAGTAATAACGAGCATCACTTGTTACATACATACACCAATTCTGTGAATATAGTTTATATATAATGTCTTGTATAGCCACAGTTTCTGTCCATAGCTGACCAACAATCTGACATCTTTATCTAAAACCACACTTTTTTTTGAAACTTGGAAAAAGGAAAATTAAATTTTTAAGTGTAGGACACAAATTTCAAAATTATAATGCTTTACATATCTCAAGAATATAAACATATATTGATAGAGCTCATAAAAAAATAATAATCATCTTTTTCGAGCTAAGGTGTGCATGGTTCACACTCGGTAAAGACAATAGAAAGAATAATGGGGTTGGAAATTTGAACTTTCAAGCATGAAAAAAGTTATTTAGCAACGGCGAAATAACAAGCATTCCCTATCTTTGACCTTCTCTTTATTTCTTGGTGAATTTTATTATTTCTGAATAATTGTGCAATCCACTAAATTTCTATCACCATTTAACCGAATACCTTCTGATACGTACATCACCAAATTTATTACTGTTCCTATAAATTACCAAATGTTTTGTTTTCTCTATATTTCCTCAGTTTTTTTTTTCAGAGAGCAAGGAGGTTAAAATGGGTGGGGCATGTAACTCGGAGCACACAACGATGAATGCCAAAATAGTAGACAAGAGACCATATTACGGAAGGCCAAAAACCAGATGGATAAATCTGAATCAACAACGATGCAATGGAGTTGCATGCAGATAATTGGAAAGAAATATCCCAAGATAGATAGAGATAGAGAAGGCTGGTTAAGATGGCAAAAGATCTATAAGGTCAATAATGCCAACAGAAAAAATAAATACAAATAAGAAATAGACTTTAGAATCTCCAAACTCTAATAATAGTTCAGAAGAAATATTATCTATTTGACAGCAACTATAACAAGATTCTAATTGTCTCATAAAATGCTGATAGAATTTTTGCATAAAACTTCAATCGAATTTTCATACACAATGATACCAAAGATCAAATGAAAACTTAATAGTCAAGAGCATTAGAGAAGTTTTTAGAAAAACACATAAAATATGAATTTTCATATCCATGATGTCCAACCCAAAGCATGCATGATACCATGTGACAGGGGTGTACAGTACAAGGTTCAGAATGTGTATACTGCCGGCCAGTGTATTTTTAATTTTGTATTACTGTTTTATCTATAAAAGTGTTAATGGTTTTGGACAACTTTATTTTTTGTTTTTATATGTTTTAAAAAACAAGCACCTATAGATATTACTGTGAAAGCGGCAGAATACTGATGTAATAAACTTGTAACACACATCAATATGTGCAACCCTAGTTTGTGATACACCTTACATATACAGGTAATAATGCATAATTTCAAAGTATAAATAATCAAGTTAAATAATTTCTTCACGTATTGACTTAATATTGTAAAACTCATAATAAAATAAATTTTAATAATTATAACCAACACAGAAATGTTATAGTTAATTATAATTGGGGAAATTTTCCAAAATATTACTCAACTAAACACAGAAAACTGTTCCTACCTTATTAAAGGTACCTCTTTTGCCATTTAATATTGAATTCTTTCATTAACAAATGAAATAAAATATGATTGGATAATATAAATAACTGAAAGTAATAAATATAAAATACTATACGTTATCCTAAATAGAAATATTAAGGTAATTAACACTGTCTAAACCAACTAAGATAAATAGCAGATGTAGTTTAAGGTTATAAATGTATACTTAACTAATAAAATTGTTTTTTACCAAATAAAATGTTATTGATGAAAACATTTAATACAATACTAATAAACGTGCTAAATAATTATGTGACTATTTGAATACTTAATTAAATTAAATTTTAAATAGTATAAAATTATTAAGGAAAAATATCAAAATAAATTTTATACTTGACTAATAAAATTCTTCTTTTCTTAAATAAACTATTATTGATAAAAACATTTAAAACAATACTGATAAACGTGCTAAATAATTAAGTGACTACATTAATAATCAATTAAATTACATTTTAAATAGTATCAAATTATTCAAGGAAAAATATCAAAATTAGATATCTAATATAAGAAAATCTAAGAATTTTGACCATACAGCTTAAATACTTACTTTGTCTTTGTAATTTATATCCTACAAATATTTAAAATATTTCATAATCTTTATTTTTAAAAGATATACTTCATAATTTCTATACTTGTAATTGTTTATACTTCTCCCAGGCATTAATCAGTCTTAACGGAAAAGACATTTCTTCTTTCTATCACCTTTAGCAATTCAAAATATTTTGTCTAATAAACTATTCAAATTTCAAATAACATAGAGTAACATAAAATATTTTTGTAATATACTTCATTTTTTTTAATAATAAAAAATCTTAAGAGACCACTGATTGAGATAAATCCTCAATAAGCAAGGATAACAGATCTCTACTATGATCAGTGGGCATACCACAAGCTTTAAGCTTAGCAAGTTGATTAGCAATTATTTCAGTCTCTGCAGTTGAACCATGACAAATCTTTTTAGCTAAATGGAGTAGTGGTACATAGTATCTAAGGAGATCAATATCACTAACAGCTTGGTACCTTCGTATAGCGAGCCCAACCAAAGCTTCAGCTCTTTTGTCTCCACTAAACCAACAAACACAAACAAACAAGCATAACCAACGAAGTACCGAAGGAGCTCTGTCTGTCTGCATTTTGTTCATTAATCGAAAACCATTTTCCACTAATGGTCTTGCCTGAAAAAATTGAAAATAAATATTAAATCCAATAATAGAGATTTTACTAACTGAACATGAATATTATGTAGCCAACACTCCATACAATAGGACAAGACAAGTATGAAAGGCAAGTTTCCAAACACTATTTAGAATTATCCCTAAAACATCATGGATTTTATTTTAAGAGAGTAGTAATCTATATATATAAAAATGAATGTATGTCTGTTTGTCCTTAGTGCATTACTAAACCATTCAACCGATCACCATGAAACTTGGGGAAGTTGTTCCGTACACTCCTGGGAAGGTTTCTGGCATAGTACTTCTGTCTTACGATAATTTTATATATGTAAAAAAAAAAAAATATAAATGTTTTTCTGTTCAAAGCCCCAAAAAAATGTGTCGCTATAAACTGTAGCGCCAAAACGGCTTTACCGATTTTAACGAAACTTGGCTAAAGTCTTCCTCTTGAAACCCTTTTAATTTATGTGTATAACATACTTTCCCGAAAACAATCTGAAAAATGTTACGATGAATTCAATATTCTATTTGACGATAACTAAAAAAGTACACAATTTTTTATTGATAATACCCATATTTATTTGAATCATGAGAAAAAAAATCATTAGAATTAGTTTAAATTGAAGCCATTTTACAGACAAATTTGTTTCCCAACTTTTTAAAAATGACAGATGTCCTTTGCTATTAATCTACTCATATGTGCTTTCTATTTTCTTTCTTTTTCATTTTGCCAGGCTAAACCACAGCAGCGCGTAGCCGGGTAAAGCTAGTTACAAAATAAAATAAAATAAAGGACAAACTATAACTATTTTGTTAAGAACATTGGCTTTTGATGAACAGCTTCATAAAAATTACTAAAAATCAAAAATAAAATAACAAGACAAATTTTACAAATTAGTTCAGAACAATAGTTTTGGATAAACAACTTCATAACAATGCTCAAAATTTAATTATAATAAATATCAATCCTTAAGAGGGTCCCCAAACAATAAGATTTTTATTTTGTTTTTACGAATAAAATTTGTTTTATTAACGAACGTCTGACTCGATGGTCAGCTGGTAAAGTAAAAATTGCTGCTTTTAAATTCCAAATTTTTAATTAATTTATATAAAGTTTTGTTTTTTTAATTCATTCTAAATTTTATATTATAGATTTGTTTCTTTTAATCTTTATTTTTTTAATAAAACTATTTTTTGGTTGGTAAAATTCATATATTTGTTTTAATTTTCCTTAAATATTCCCTTACTCCAAGTTACAGAAAAATATTAATGATTAAAAATCTGTTTTTTTTTTCTAATTTGTTTTTTTTATTATATGCACAATTTAATTAATTTAAGACTTACTAATTTAAACTAGAAATAACAACACACGTAGATGCTTTAATGCATATCGTAATCATTCCAAATGGGTGCTAAAATGAAATCTCAGATTGGAACGAAAATGCAATGTAATCGAACATAAAAGCGTTTACATTCTGATGGAAGGAGATTCCAAAGCTCCTCGGAACAAGAAAGACCGTTCCGGGTGGAACGAGAAAGACCGTTCCGGGTGGAACGAGAAAGACAGTTCCAGGTGGATAAAGATTCCGAACCATTCCAAGGTGAAATTCAAGGCCACTCGGAACAAGAAAGAACATTCCGAGTAGAAACATTCCAGAGATGGAATGGTTCAATCGAACCAGTTCAAGAAATTTTTATTACGACTAAAGAGACTGTTAGTTCTGTTTCTTCTTCGTTCTGCCATTGTAATATGACACAAATAAATTAAAAATAAAATAATAAGAAAAAAAGCCAAAATTTAATAAAAATCAATATTTTTTTAACTTTTAAAATGTTTATACAATATTGATACCTCTCATAACTTTTATAGGTAGCTAAAAAAAGTAAAATAAAATAAAATGCGAAATCTTAAGGTGCATTTAGACATTTCACAAATTGTGGGACAAACAAAAAAATTATGTTTAGGATCTTATTGTATTTTATTTAATTACATTTCTTAATATTTAATCGAACACTAAATTAAATTTAGTCATTATGGTTCATTTTTGAAGCAAACAACCTATTTGACTATTCTGTTCATCCACTTTGACAGCAATCAGCGCATTAACCTTAATTGCTACAATCCCTTTTGTACCTATTTGACTTTTGACCTAAAGAATTACTAATTTCTTGAATTAGTAATTTTTAGATTCGTGAAATATTCTTAGATTACATTCCAGCGGAACAAAGTTTACGAGGGTCTCGTTCCGTTCCAGTTTTGGAAGTCGTTCCAAGAACCTTTCCGCCCGGAACGGTACATTCCTATCCATGATGGGTAGAGATACCTTTTAGATTGCCACCACATACCAACCAGAGGGAGTATTAAAAATTTAGAAGAATGGGATGCTGCATACATTAGTTAATTTATTGTGCATGACAATAGAAAATGCTTCATCAAAAGTTCATTTGAAATAAAGTTGGCAAATCCCTTTAGTGTACAATCTACATCTACATGTATTGTACACCAATACAACGATCAAGGAGATGCCTTACTGGTGAAAGATGCAGTAAAAAATGGGATTATTGTTGATACAAGATGACAGATTTGTGGCGACTCTGATGATCTGGTGATTGATGTGAGAAAGTGTAAGTGAAACCAGAAGTGAAAAGGAACTAAGAGAAGAATTTGAAATAGTTTATAAAAATGGGAATAAAATAGGTTTCATAGTCAATGAAAATAAAACGAATTACCAAACATTGTCCCCATCAGCAATTAGGAGATCCTGCCTGCCATTATAATAAAGAATTTTAATGTAAAAAATGTAAGCATGTTTGTCTATCTTGGTTCTGCCATAAATTAGCTTAGAAATCAAGACCAGAATAATGGTAATAGTGCCTACTAAATCTGTTTCAAGACCAGCTATCAGTAATAGACAAGAAATTTAGTGTTTGCTCCAATATGATTCTCATAAACTGAGAATATTTGAAAAAAAACATTATAAGAAGGATTTAAGGAGCAACACAAGTTACTAGTAAATGGAAAATTAAGAGCAATGCTGAGATTGAGACTTTATTAGAGAATAAGAACAACATTGATTGTATCAACATAAGTAAGCTAAGATGGCCGGGACAAGTGGTCAGAATGGAGGATGAAAGGATACAAGAGGAATGAAGTATATTTATCATTCATCAAATAAACCACTATGAACAAATAAAATGATATGTATTCTAATATTTTTATTCAGACAAACTATAGGAATAGTATTTAAATATAAATGATAAAAATATATATATACCTGTTCATACTCTTGGTGCTGAATTAGTTTTATAACTTCATCAAGCTCTTTATTCTGTAGAAAAGCAATGACCAAAGGTGAATGTCTTAGTTGACTTTCAGAACCTATCAGACTTAAAAATGCTTCGAATCCAGCACTCCTTGAGGCAATGATGTCAGGGTTAAAATTACCAATGATAGCTTTTCGGGGAAACTGTAGCCCCAAAAAGTGACTAGGAAATTCTCTTCTCAGTCGATTATACAAAGCAAGAAATTCATTATAACGCCTTTCAAGAAATGCAGGGTTAATATCTTCTGCACCACTTAATTTGCGAATCACAACTTTATAAGCCTAAAATATATTTGTAATTTAAACTTTACAAAAAAATAAAATAATTAACAAAAAATATATATAGGAAATAGGTTGGAGGTGTGGTCAATCAAGTGAAAATTCACCAATAAGTGGGACTTGTATCCACTCTGAGTCTAGATTTCAACTCACCTTAAAGATCTGAGGTTTAAATAAATAAGATACAAAACTAATGTTAAAAATTAAGATAGAGATCTATTGCAGGTCAAAATAACTGTTTTAATGACACGTAGGAAATAAAACAATAAACTAAATGTCATTCGATTTAAGGAATGTATGTATTAGTTCTTGGGTTGAGATTTTGTTTTTAAACAGTGGACAGAGGTGAACAGTTTGGAGGATTTAGAAGGCTTTTGGTTTCTAAATATATATATATTTTTTCCCAGTTCTGCTCTACCTCATCTTTTAGGCTATACGGGATTTTCTTGGGCTGGGGAATTTAAAATCACCTCCGGCACCGGGATGCGAACTCGTACTTTTGAAATCTCTCAAATCTGTAATCCGGTTACCAGGCGACTGCTGTGCACACGCTTTAGCCCATTCGGTCCCCCCGCCCTAGTTTTTCTTCCTCCTGCATTACAGACCGAAGTGGTCCTTGGCTTGGCTTCAACATATACCACAGACCGCTACCCTCCACTACACAGATGGTTTTTCATCACCTTCCACATGCCTCTTACATTCTTCACTTTCTTTTTAAACCTATTTTTCTCTTTTTAAACCTTCTTTCAGCTGTTGATTTATTCATAGACCCTGTTTCAGTTCCATAGGTAACCATTGGTCTAACTACAGTTTTAAACATGTGGACCTTAGTGGTGCGTGATACCAGGTTATGCCTAACTAGGCATCTTGGTTTCATATATGCTTGGTTGCCTTTTAAAATCCTTCTTTTTACTTTTTCTTCTTCGCTACCTTGAGTACCATTACAAGTCTGTCTGAAAGCTACGAAAGGCAAATGAACACATAACAAATAAGAAATACTGCCATCATATAAAGCCACTTTAATTAGGTATACTAACTAAAGACGCAGGGGCTCTTGAGTACCCTAAGGGCTAATTTAATAAAACAATTCATTAGTGTCTTCAGTCTTATTTCATAGTTACCAAATAATCCACCATAAACCAGCATGGTTTTTACATTATAGTTTTTTTATATTATTTTATTTCGATTTTATGATTACATTTTTAGTAATGTAGAATATACTCTTCATTTATTGTAAAAACTTGTTAAAATGCATGTAAGTTATTTATTTTTCTTCAAGGTTCTGTAAAGTAATCGTATTTTTTTTTATCCTCTAAAATTTGACTGTATAGGTATGTGTATTTATTTTTAAAAATTTAATAACAGATTTGAGTCATTTATGTTTGACCTTTTGTTTATCTGCTAGACGCCATAATTGTTTTAACTTTTTTTTTTTAAGTAACAAATATACTGTTTTACACGGGCGGATATACGGGGAAAGGGAGGAGGCTTTCAAGCTGAAGCCCCTTCCCTATCCCAAAATGGTAGAATGTAACCATGTCTTATGAAAAAAGTATTTGATAATTACCTCTAAAAGTATTATTGTTCATATAATTACATTTAATAGTACCTAAAGAATCAATTAAACTCTATTTCATAAAGGTAGTTAGTTCCATTCTTTTTTTTTCTAAGTAATTATCGTTATATATTTTTTTAAAAAATCTTTAGTGCTGAAGCCCCCCCAAAACTAAATCCTGGATCCTAGTGCTGTTTCAACTTTAGATTTGTATCACAGGCGGATCTACAGCTTTCGGGCTGAAGCCTCTCCCAAAACGGTAAAATTTTTTTATAGAAAAAAATATTAAAAACTATCTCTTAAAGTATTATTGTTCGAGTAATTACATTTAATAGGACTTCAAGAATCACTTAAACACCGTTTCGTACAGGTAGTTAATTTCTTTCTTTCTTTTTTCAAATTAATTATCGTTTTATATATATATAAATATAAAAAAAAATATATATATATATTTTTGGCACTACAAACTATGAAGATCTTTGGACGCGAGATGTGGTCGCATTATAGAGGTGTGATACTTGCTGGAGCTCAGATAGCCTGGAGGGGATCACCCAACCTCACGTTGCTATGAACCATGGTTTTCATGGTGCAGCGGCAGGCCACCCGTAGTTCCATAGCCGATCCCCTTTGGGGCCAATCTGGCAATGTCCTTCCCATTGACTTTCTCTGGTTCAAGGACAGCGACAAATCGGTCTAGATCCATCAACTATGGCTGCTCAGAGTCAGCAGGCGCACGAGGACCTATATTTCTTTCGCCAAAACAGACCGTCCATGGACCGGACCTCAGGGGGGCTATTAACATCCTGGTAAACCACATCCCGATTCCCGATTTAAGTACACGGAGTAGGGTCATCAGTCCTACACCCGGCCGGTGTGAGTTGCCTCCAGTAGGTTGACGGGTCTCACATAACGGGGGGAGAGACTTGGGCAGAATGGCTTTCCCTGGTGGACAGTCACCCATCCAAGTACTAACCACGCTCGACGTTGCTAAACTTTGATTACCTATTGCAAGCGCCTTGGCCCGTATGGCTACCCCAGCCCCTTTATCGTTTTATATGTATGTATATATATAAATATATATGAAAAAAAAAAATAAATTCTGCCGGGCTGAAGCTCCCCAAAATTAAATTCTGGATCCGTTAGCGATTTGTATTAACATATTTTTTATATAACTTAATGTTTTTTTATTTATATATTCAATACATTTAATGTTTGGGCCAGAAATAATCTATATTTTTCTGTTCACTTTCGTTCTTCTTAACGGACTTTGCCCCTGAATAATGTTATTTTTCTATAATATCAAATATATAATTAGATTTCTATTTCATAGTGCACATATCACACTATGTGCTTGAGTGTGAGGATCATAAGGAAAATTTGGATTAGTTGGCCTCATCTCTTCACTACACCAAAACTTAATTCGGATCGAATTAGCTGTCATCTAAGAATATTCTTGATTTATAATAATTGAGGAAGTCTAAGAGGAGGTGCGGGAGGGGCAGCATATCAATGATGAAGAAATTTAAAAAGAGTAAATTTTAAGTTTTAATTTTAAATTTATAGCAATGCATAAAAAAACATTTAGATAAATGAAAAATATGTATATAAATCTAATATCTTTCAATGAATAGACCTCAAATGAATTCTTTTAAAAATAATATTTTCTCAGTCATCTAAATTTTTTTCCTTAGACCTCCTCGATTATCGGCTTTTTTAAGTAGTCACTTCAATAGATCTATAACAAGAATAAAATCTCACCACATATTTCTTTTGATTTGTAGGTTCAACTGTCCGTGTTGAAATAACTTCAAATTGAAGGCCATTTGGTCCACTCATTTTTATTTGAATTTTCATGTCATATATTTAAAAGTATAAAAAAATTGTAGAAATTTCATTCCTGAAAATGATAGTATTACAGTGAACATTCCAATTTTAAAATATAAAATGATTCTAATATTGATTCTACCAAAAATAAACTGGCAATGGTCAACAGCTCTTAGAAACCTCATAAACTTATTAAACTAATGTTTCATTGACATGATTGGGACTGGATGTGTGGCTTGAATCCACCGAAGTGTGACATATATTGCTAACAAAAACGATAATCTCAAACATCTCTCAACTCTACTTAATAAAAATGTATTTAAAACAGCTAATAAAATGAATTTTAAACTAAATATCTTTAATGAGATGACAGGACAAGAGAAAAAAAAAGAAAAAATATTTCATGGGTGGAAGTTCTGAGCCTTGATTAACTATTTGCAACTAAAAAGTATAAGATAGTCAACAGTATAAGTAAGGCGCTGGCAGTCTCTACACTCTCTTAAAGTAGTTCTGTTCTCACCACTTTTCTTAAACATTGATTATCTTAATAAACAAGCAGGAAAAAATCTGGACTTTTTTCATTTTTATTGTTATAATCTAATTGTCACCGACAAATAAAAATTGAAAATCCACACCTATACCCAAACCACTTAGGAACTAATGCTTACTTGTTTGTGAATATTATGGAATGACAGAATTTTACACTCTGAGTGAATGTATTATATCTGTTAACTTATACTTGTCTCTAGCCATAATAAATTTGGCAAAATAATCATCCCAATAATGCACCACAATCAGTAGGTGGATAATTATTCTACTTAATTATTTTTGTCATTCAGATTCAGATAGGTTGTTTATGTCATTTTTAAATAGAAATGATGTGAGAGGAATGTTGAATATCAGTGGCTATAAAAAAAGTCCCGTTTTGTTGATTTTAATTTCAATATTGCACATACATTGTTCCATCCAGTTTTTTCAAAATTTCCATTTTTTTTTCAGTTTGTCTGAAATAAGCTAATCTACAAAAAATATTTTATACATATAAATTGACCACTATCTGAAGATAAATTGATCACTAGATATTCATATATACAATGAGAATTAATTATCTAGGTATGATATTACTATGATATAGTAACATAATTTATAACAAACCATAATATTTCAATTCAACTATGAAGTTTATTTGGATAAAAACTTATGACAAATATTAATTATTGTAAAAAAAATAATAATACAAGATTCATGTTAACAACTTCAATAATCGCTGTGATAAATTAAATATCAGTAACTCAAAACATATAAGAAAGGATATTAACATTAACAGATATTAGCATAGAGATAACGTCTTCTGAAATTACTAGAAATTTGATCATTGAAATTACCTGAAGATAAAACAAAATGTCACAAATAAACATCCATTCTATATAAACATTTATTCGTTTGACAAAAGCAAAGTAAATGAATAACAAACAATGACAATTGTCCCGCTGACAGGAACAGGTTATTTCACTAACTTGTGCACCTAAATAGGCAAGTACCTAAACTCTGCGCTGAGCTCATCGATATCACCGAAAATTCGTGAAGATCGTTCTTAAACTCATCTATGGAAACTATCTATGAAATTCACCTCTTTCGATTATTCATCGATGGCTTAACGATTCCATCGGCTTTTAATGTCAAAGAATCGGGGATGTTCGCAAACTCACTGCTGAACTTTCGATGGTATCGTTTTGCCCAGTCTAACGACTTAAAACATAAAATTTAACATTCTCGAGTCTAGCGAAACTGAATGAATCTCGATCTCCTCAGTCTGGTTGGAATAAATATGGTTATATCTATGGAAATCCCGTGTGACATAAATGTCGAGGTTTGGAAAAATAAAAAAGAAGTAGGCATTCTCTTAACTTTTTAAAAAAATGTCCATATGCTTTGAAACCTTCCAAGATAGTTTTGTTGCTATTGTTGATTGTTGTAACGAAGGTCTGTAAAACTACCAGGTTCGCTCACTCAGAGGGAAAATGGCGGCGAGGAATTGAGCTCTGACGTAGCCAAAAGACTTTTTTTTTTTAAATCTATTTATTGAATAATAATACAATCAGCCACTGCTGGAGGGCTATAAGCATTAGGGCTAAAAGTTCTCATTCATACAATATATACAAATAATAAAGAAATAAATATAAATATAAGAAGTAAATAAATAATACTGATGAAGAAGATACATAAAAATAAAAAATAAGAATAAACAAATAAAATAAAATAAAAACTTCTAAACACAATCATAACTATATACAATATATACATTCGCCCAAGAATCTCCGAGCCAGGCTTTTCCCCCACACGCGGAAGGCAAAGCAAGACTCCGGAAGATCCCAGTGCCACTTTTCCAGCCGCATCACTAGTATTAGAAGCCAGTGGAGACTGAAAGAGGGCACTACAGCCACAGACGCTCAGGACATGTGTGGAGAAGCTGGCCAGGACTACAAAGGCATATTTACAAAAGATCTCGAGGCCACTGCCGTTTCAACCTTCGAGGGGGATGGTATGGATGCTCGGAGATGGATAGGGATTGGGCTAGAGGATTGGGATGATGAATGAGGTTCTGGTGAAAGTTGAAGAATCTGGATGGGATGATGTCATGGACATATGGGATGTTAAGGTCATGGTGTAGGGTCTTGTTCGTGACATAATATGGAGCATTGACTATTGTTCGAAGGACTTTGGACTGGAAGGATTGGATGCGTTTGATATTCGATGATTTAGTTGTCCCCCACAGTTCAAGTCCGTAGGTCCAGATAGGTTTGGTCTAGTATGGTCTTGTAGATTAATAATTTGTTTTCTGTTGAGAGATGAGATGTTCTGTTTAGTAGTCTATATAGCTGACCAAATCGTCGGTTAAGCTCTTGTCTGTTAAGTCTCGTATGTGGGTTCCAAGTCAGTCTTTTGTCCAGAAGGAAGCCAAGGTATCGGACTGTGTCTGAGTAGGGAAGAGGAATTGAATTAAAAAGGATTGGCGGACAGGATCTGCGTCGAAGAGTGAAAGTTACAAGTTTGCATTTTGATTCATTAATTTTGATGCGCCAGTTGTTGCACCACTGCTCAATGAAGGAGAGGTGTCTGCAGGTTCCGGGACGCTATTAGAGGATCCGAGTGGGAGGATAGGATGACAGTATCATCAGCAAATGTTGCTAGGAAGGTATCAGGACTTGAAGGGATGTCAGCGGTGAAAAGGATATAGAGAACTGGGCCCAAGACACTGCCTTGTGGAACACCATCCTCAATTGGATAATGTTTGGAGAGTTCAGTGCCGCAGCGGACTTGAAAGGAGCGATTTGAAAGGTAAGATTTGAGGACTAGGTACAAGGGTTGAGGTAAATGGGTTTTGAGCTTGAAAAGCAAGCCATCGTGCCACACCCGGTCGAAAGCTTGAGCTACGTCCAGAAAGGCACCAGTGCAATATTGCTTGTTTTCAAGTCCCGAGGATATGTGGTCCACAAGGCGAAGGTCTTGTTGGACAGTGGAGTGTCTTGAGCGGAATCCAAACTGATGGGAAGGGATATTGTGGGATTCGAGTATGGGTAGGATGCGTTTGAGAAGGATTTTCTCAAAGATTTTGGAAAGGATCGGAAGTAAGCTTATCGGTCTATAGGATGATGTATAATTAACAGGTTTACTTGGTTTAGGAAAGAGGATAATTATGGAGTGTTTCCGCACCAGGGGAAAGTGGGTTGTGCGGAGTATACAGTTGAATAGATATGTAAGGAATATAATTGCTTTTTGGGGAAGTTGTCTGAGGATCTGGGAAGTAAGGAGATCGTGTCCTGGAGATTTGCGAGGTTTTAGGTCCTTTAAAAGGAATTTGACCTCAGAGGGGTTGACGGCTGTAGGATGTAAGGAGAGAGGAATCGATGAAGAGAGGAATTCTTTAACTTCAGCAGTATGGGAGGGATGGAGTTCAGGATGAGGAGTGAATGTGTACGATAGATGTTTAGCAAACTCTTCTGCTCTATTCTCATCTGACGAAGCCCTGGAACCATCATCACGGCGGAGGGGGTGGGAAATGGATTGGAATTTAAGGATTTTTTTTGTTACATTCCAGAGGGAGCTATCACTTGCAGATTGTGAGGAAAGATGGGAATTATAGGATTGGGATCTAAACGTAGCCAGTTTTTGTTTTACCTGCTTGGAATAATAGTTATATGATTTCCGATCATCAGGATGCCTAGTTCTTTGCCAGATGGTCCTAGAGCATCGTTTCCTATTAATAAGGTCCAGTAGGTCTTGGGGTAAAGGATTTATTTTGCGGTATTTTTTAGAAGGATCAGGTGAAGATGCAGTCCAAACTGCTTGTTGGATCAAGGTAGTCATGGAATATACTGCTTCATCTAGGTCTGCAAGTATTTTTAATGAAACTCTGAGGTCAATATTATCATCCAGTATTTGACGGAAGAGGTTCCAATTAACTGGCCCCCTGATAAATGAAGGTGGAGGTGGTTTGGGAATTGGTGATGTGGAGACCGTTAGGATTAGGGGACTATGGTCTGAGGAAAGATCATCAAGTCTTGAAATGCTATAATTAAGGGACCCTAGACCTTTGTGGATGAAAAAATCTAGGAGATCGGGATTGCGGTTAGGATCTGTTGGCCAGTATGTGGGAGAATTGGGTGAGAGGATGTTGCTTTGATGGGAATTAAGTGCAGATAGCAATGTTCGTCCTCTGGAATTTGTGGTTCTGGCTCCCCATTGCTGGTGTTTAGCATTTAAGTCTGCACCTAGAAGGAAGTGGTGTCCTAAGGAGTTAAGGAAGGAAGTTAATTGGGATTCTGAGATAGGTATTTTAGGCGGGGAGTATGCTGCGACTAATGCTATTGGGTAAGAAGAAGTTTGGATTATCACGACAGTGGATTGTAGGAAATTATGGGTCAGCAAAGGGAATAGGTGATGGGAAAGGGATTGATGGATAATTATGGCAGTGCCATCATGTGCTGTTCCATCAGGATGGTCGGTTCGATAGATATGATAGTTGGGGATGTTAAGTGGTCGTTTGTTGGTAAGTCGAGTTTCAGTTAT